ATAGTCCTTAAACGTCCCTACCTAAACCAAAAATGTCCACCACAAATGGCAGATTTCTTTAGTGTTAATATCGACAAGCAAATGTATGGCTTGAATGTTGAAACTTTTTTTTTTTGTTATGTTTTTAATTTGTATAGTTTACTGTAATCAAAGTATGATTAAAATATTTAATTAAAGTAGATCAATATTCACTATCATATGGAAATATCCGGGATGATGGATATGAGATTTTGAATTTATTATTTTACTTTTGTAAATGCTCACATATTACGAAAAATAATATAAATCAGGAGATCTCTATGCATTTCCAATCTCAAGATTGACATTAGAATTTTTTAAAAAGGTTTCCAAATAGTTTAAGCTGTTCTGTATTTATGTATTGATATATGTAGAATTAATATCAGTGATTCTAATTTAAGTGAATCCAACACTTCCATTTAATTTTTGAAACAAACAAAATTACTTATATAAATGTAATAACATTGTCGATAGTCATAAAATCAGACATAACTTTAATAATAGGTATAACAGAAGATGTAGCAAGAGACAGTGTCAGTACAAACATGTTATATTACATAACCATATATATAAACTACCACAACAATAAAAATGTCACAACAAATGGTCACAAGTTACAAATTAAATTTGCCAGGAATTATTAAATGTTATATAATGTTATAGTTGTCAGTGGGGAAAAATCGGAAACGGGTGGATGGTTTTAAGGAACCGAGAATGCCTAGCAATGGCTCTTGTTTACTCAAAATTAAATATAATATTATTTACCAATAAATACGACGATGGAATTGCATTATCATGTAATCTAGTTACATTCAAAGTTCTATTAAAATTTGACACTTCAAAATGGAGCGAACAGACGAAGGTGATATTTGTTTATGTTCGGCAATCATATAATTTCCAACCATTCTTTCTTTCTTTTTTCATTTGTAGGTATACTTTAAAAATAAAAAAAATAATAATGAAAAAAATAAAAACCTCGTAGTGAATTGTTTTAATAACAGAATATCGATATGTCTGCTTACAAGAACAACACTATCTCAAAATAATCGTTATTAACAATCTTCAAAATATACTAACAAACAGGCAATCAAAAGTAACCAAAGCAAAATTCGGCAAGACATGAATAAACTACTTAAATGAGTCTAATTACACGAGATATTTGTGCTATTGTATAATTTATAGACAAAAAAATAACACATGCCGGTGTAATGTAGCATTCGGTTGATTTCCGCCTTTTCTATTGCCGCACCTCTTAAGGCCGCAGCGACGCATTTTAATCAATATTTATTGTTCTCACTGTCAGTATTTTTGTCCAAATTTGTTACAATTCATGCGAAAATTCAAGAAAACCTTTGGCCAAACATTGGTTTCGACATTTCATGTGTACTCATACTCAAGGAAGGGCAGAGATGTGAAAAACTGCTTATTTTTTCAAACGTCATCCTTTTTTAAAAAAAGCGTGCTTTTTAAAAGGCTTTTTCACTTATACGCTTTTTAGTTTGAAGCTACCAAAATCGTTTAGATAACATTTAAGCGCATAGACTTTTATTTTAAAAAAGCTTGTAACATTGTGTTAATAGCGAAACGCAAGAGTATATGGTTAAGCTAAGTTTTTTTGAAAAAAAAACGAGTTATTTTTTTACTTACAGTCAATTCGGGTAACTTTGAACATTTTTTGGCGTTTTTCTAATAATTTCAAATTTAATTATGTTTCTTAACAATTACTTTATTAACTGACTAGTGTTCTTTTAAGCCCTTTTTTCGTTCTTACAGAAGGAATTTAGTAATTATTCAACAAAACTGTTCTAGATTTGCTCCAAAAGTCACATTCAAAGTTGCCTTGAATTTTGGGTAACTTTGAATAAGATTAGCCTTCGATATGGAAACCGTATATTTTCTAGATATTTTACAGTTTGTGGAAGATTATACGACATATTCATATTTTTTAGATGTGAATCTGTCCAAATATTCCTGACAGTGCGTTCAAAAACGACATTTGACTTGGTATTGCCATAATAAAACGAGACGAACTAATTTAGTTGAAATGAAAAACTTGTTTTTTTTTTTAGATTTTTTAATTAATGCGAATAAAAATGAAAATTTTCTGTTTAATAATAAATTCTACGCTTATTTAGCTATCAAACGAGATCAAAATGAATCACCTATAACATTTATTTTAGGCAAAGTAAATACATAACAAAAATCTATTCACCCCACTCATTGAATAAAATGTCGTCATCAATATAAATACGGCCGCCTTTTCTAGATAGCTGTTGCTCTTTTATAATATTCCCAATATCGGCTTTATTAACTTGACATGTCTCAACGTTAGAGGGCCAAGACCAACCTCCTAAAAAGCATTTTTGGAGCACTGAAACAGTAATTTCCAAAGGAGTAACTTTTAGAACTCTCCCTGGAAACAGACTATCCTATTCTCTAAAAACACAGTCAAACACATTCAAAGTTACCCAACTTTCTCTGTTTGGTAACGACGTCAAAATCTAATTCGTTTTACGCGTAAATACAAAACCAAATTAAATTATTCTTTAAAAAAGCGATATATAAACCTCTACTTAAGTGTGGAAACCAAAACTTACCAGTCAATTTTCAGATTTATATATTTAATTCCGATTCTAAAACTGAGCAACAAATCACATCAAACTACTTTCGCCAAGAAAAAACCGCGAAAGTTTAAAAAAATACAATTTAACATTACTTTTTTCGTTCATAACTTTGGCTTAACAATTTTGTTCCGATTTACACAGTTTCAATACTAAAAATAAAAGATTGTCACACATAAAATAAATTTTTAAATCTTTTACGCAACTACGTTCAAAGTTACACCTCGATTCAAAGTTACCCGAATTGACTGTATGACATAACATTATTAAAAATTTTTATTGAATTGATATTCAATTATTTTTTTGTGAAATTATTCCACTAGTTTGCTTAGTTGGTGTCTGGCACGGTAAGGTGGCACCATGGTGGCACGGTAAGCTGGAAGACGTCGGTTCTAATCCGGCCGGACACACTTACATCAATTTGCTCTAAGCAAACTCTACGTGAGTCTGGATTGAAGAGAAATAATTGTGAAGAGGTGCTTATTTTATCTTAAATTGAACGTAACATTCCACCAAATCAATAAAGGTTTTGTCTCAGCTTGTCATCAAAATATTTTTGGCTCTAGATTTTAAATATATTTATTTTTTGACCTTTTTCATATGGGAATGTCGTAATTACAATGATGTAAAGTCAAGGACGTTTTTAGTTAAATAGTTGGAAAACATTGGATTTTATTTGATAAGTATAGAATGTATGCTCACTGAGTGTAGAAAACAATTTATGTTACGTGATTACTAGGTCGATATTATTAAAAATCGGTATTTTACATCGAACTAGACCTGCTTCTTGCTTCACTAATAACTTTTCCCTTGTCAATGTCATGATGACTTAATGGAGAATTTAAATAAGTCACTATACTATTTACATTATATAATAAAACATGAATTCTCGATATTTATTTCGTATTTGCAATAACATTATACGGCCCGCAGTTGTTTGTAGATACAAAAGTTACAAAGCAATAAAACGTCCTGACCCGGAAAAAATGAAAATGCCGGCGCTAGAGTCTCTGCCAAATTTGATGGATATTTTAAAAGAGAAAATTAAGTTAAACGGGCCTCTTACGGTGGCTGAATACATGCATATTATTATAACAAACCCTACAGAAGGGTATTACATGAGGAAGGAAACAATTGGAGAATCAGGAGACTTTATAACCTCGCCCGAAATCAGTCAGCTTTTTGGAGAAATTGTGGCGATTTGGTTCTACGTGGAGACGCTGAAAATGTATCCTGGAAAACCCTTGCAGATTGTGGAGCTCGGGCCTGGGAAAGGAACTTTATTGTGGGACATGTTGAGGGTTATGATTATTCTTTACAGTTCTTTGCTTCATTATATATTATTCATATGATATTCGAAGTTCTCTTTTTGACTTTTTAAAAATTACACTTCTTTAACATATCGTAACTACGTTGCTTTGCTGGTATGCAGATTTTCCTTATCTGTTTTACTACTTAAACATTCTATTTAGAATTATTTTCCTATTATACTGAATACATTGCATTTTACACCTTTTTGTATTTATGTCTTGTAACATAACTTTTAATTTGCGTGTTGGTATTCTGCAGCTGACTCTCATGCTTATAACTCAAGCTGCTCTAGAAATCTTATCTATCTGTCACCCTGGTATGTGTAACAATTTTATCCATTAATTTTTAACTTCATCTAACATTGCCAAGCATTTCTCGGATTTCCCAAGATTTTCTGAATGTTTTGTCTCTTATTTGAATGTTTAAATAAAATTGCAGGTTCTGCACCGAATAGGATATCATCCGTCAGAAGTAAGTCTCCACTTGGTTGAAATATCTGACACAATGGTAGAAATGCAGGCCCAGCAACTATGTTTTAAACATAACGTAACTTCAATTGACTGCCCTTATTATCATGAGGTAATAATTTTTTTGTTTTATTATATACACTCAGTTTCAGTCACATGTTGTATAATATAATTCGTGCAAACTTTAAATTAATTCATACAATACAATAGCCAATTTGGTCGCATGCTATACAACTCTGTAGGGCTAGACCGCTGTGAACAGGTGCGACGCGACATGCGAGATGATAAAACTCTCTCGCAGTTGTTATTTTCTCGTTGTATGTAGCATGACTTGACATGCCAAACGTAGGCTCCAAGAGTAGATGCAGTTGAGGGCGACATAGTATGTGTTACTATTTACATAAAAAATATTCAACTTGCGTTGTATTCTTGTGTGATAAAACCGAATCAGTAATAGAGATACACCATTTTATTCGTTCATTGAGTGAATTAGAAAACACAATGACGTCACATCTGTTAAAATTCTGGGTTATTTTGAATCAACATGGCGCTAATTGGGAAAAACGTAAGTTTTTATTGAATTAATTTTGCTTATCTTACCACTTTCGGTAGTTATATAATTGTCATTTGTTGAATTTTACTCGTTCATTATTTTCAAACAAATTGTATTATATATACTAACTTGTTTCAACAAAACAGAAAATCATTTACAAAATACATAATAAAATTTTAAAAGTAAATTTTACTGCAATCGAAGAATGTATTTTCATTATGTTTGTGATAGCATATTTACATTACTTGTGTTTACCGTAGAATACAATTATATGCACCTAGTTTATCTTAGTGTTATTTACTATGTAATTAATGTACTCATACTTTATACAATTTCAGTGTATGAAGTAATAAATTTAATAAAACTTGATGGACTGCATGTCGTGCCTGAAGATGAAAGCTGAATGTCTCCGCTTGCAGCGATTGCTAGCCAAAAACTGAAACCAGAGAGAAACAAAAGTGTGGTGAAGTAGAAGCACATAAGTAGTATTTCCTAAAAATTCTATGTAAAAGACAAGACAAATTTGTTTCATTACTTCAATCATGGAACAGCCAGGAGATAAAAGATTTCGTCAGTTCTGTGATGTTACAGATTCATGGAAGAAATAGGAAGTACCTGTTTCCTTATTATTATTTACATGAAGTTCATACAAAATTTCAACTTGTTGGCTGTTATAGGCAAATTCAAGGGCACTAACATGTATACAACCTACCAACTTACCTAACCTTGGTCAAAAATGTGTATAAACATGTCTTATGTTATTCATTATAAGGTATATGCAAAAATGCATCTGAACAGTTGGTAGAATGTATACATGTTATTCACATACATACATACTTACATACATACAACAGGTTGTACTGTTTTTAATAAGTATTCTTTATTTTTTAGTCATGGCGTGGCAGAGTTTGCTTATCACTTAATATTTATCATCGGACATAACAGAAATAAATGAAATTGAGGTACAGTTTGGAAGTCAACTGGACTCTGAATCAGAAGATGATGGCCCTCGTGTATACCTGATCCAGAGATTTTAAAAAATACTACTTGTATGATAATAACCATTTTTTCACTGTGGATTAATCCTCTTTACTTAGGTAATAACACTGATCACTTTAATTAGTGATTATTTATCTCAAAACCTTTAATTGTTAGTTACCTGTATGAAAATAAATTGATTTATCAAAGCTGTACTATTATTTAACCACTTGTAGAATTATATTTACGTATTTTCACTAATACTCATTTAAGTCTGATACAAGTCATGGTATTATATTCTAACTGTTTTCTATTTCCATCCTTTTTTTTATAAAGTTATTTTTATTAAACATAATACAAATATTCTTTATTGCACACAAGAACAAAATACATTAAAAAACCAAAAGACGGGTGCAACAAGCTGCCTTATTTTTAAGATTCTTCAAGGCAACTTTCGGGTTACAGGATAAACTTAAAGGTAATCATTATTTGAGGGCGCAAAAACTGCGATTGAATACGAATTTATTACAAATATTGTTCTTGCTCTAATAGACATATAATACTCAAATAAATAAAAAAATACATACATACATATTATCACGCTTATTTTCTATCGGGGTAGGCAGAGACTATGGACCTCCACCTGCTATATACCTGACAAACATCCTTCGCCTCATCCACTCCACTCCAAAATACATATACTTACAATAATTATTATCACTGAAGAAAGAAAAGAGCGATAGGTGTAAATGAATATCAGTAAAAATAATATTATAAATAGAGTAAGAATAAGAGAAAAGAATAATTAAAGTATATAACGTTGTAAATTAATAATTATTTTATTTGTTTTATTTATTGTTAAAAAATGTATCTGGAAGAGTCCCGTGTCCAGCGTGAAGCGTATAGTTAGGAATATCGAGCGAGGAATGCGCACGAGCCATTTTTTATAGGCGACATCTGGTCCGGTTCCTCGCCCTACTTGTGGGGTATCAGGCAAATGCCGCTTGGACGACGGCGCACTCCGAAATCTATCCTAGCGAGGGACGCACGCGCATTTCTCTAATAATAGCGTTTTCATATGCGGTCTTCGCGAAATACATTTTTTTTGTAATTGAAAGTCATTAAATCTTTAGTGTTTTTAAACCCACTTGTTTGGTAAGTGTTGAACACTAACTAACTTTCCTTTGCCTATTATGATTTCTATAATATAACGCTTATTTAAATTGTAGTCGTAACGGTTTTTTGTGCTTTTCCCACTTCTTCGTTAACTGCCGTTGTCACAGTCAGGGGAGCAAACCGTGGACAATTGCTAACTGGATCAATGGGTATTCCAGGGTCCGAGGTTCCCGATACTGTTGTTACCATTCTCCGCGTCGGCTGGCCTGAGCCCAGAGATCGACACCGTACCCCGGACGTCTATTCGGCGGACGGCTGTCAACCCGCATCCCGGACTTCATTTCGGCGGACGGATCCAGTCCTGGGGGTCTAGCTCTCGATCTCCGTCCGAAACTATTACTCTCAAATAAGTAATATTCGACAAAATTAAATGACAAGTATGAAGCTTCATTCGCATCACGCGTCTTTGTTCTGTTCTGTTCTGTTTGTCGTGTTCTGGTTCATCCAACCCTGGACGTCACTTCGGCGGAACAGCCAGGGGAGTACCAGCTGCTGGTTGTTGGAAGGCAAAAAGTGCAGTATACACTGCACCTTTGGGTTTTAAACGAACCGCGCCCAAATAAATTTGTTTACAAGGGTAGTTATTTTTTTTATTTAGAACTCCCACCCGTAACAATATTTAAGTAGAAATAATATTTTTTCTAGTAATACATTGATAAGAACAAAAATATTAACTTTTATTCCTCTGTTGCGCACCATAAGCCTCGAAGACAAATATCTCGCACTTTGACGTTTAAATGCGAGATATTTGGCTCTTAATAAACAATCGTGTTACGCACAGCGCAGCTATCAACCGCCAGACGAATGGTGCAATGACAAATAAATGCGACGCGACAAGCACCGTCGTGCTAACGGATCTCGACGTACCAATATCTTGCGCTTCTATGTCGTTTCTCGCTTCAGTCGCGCCCTGTCGTGCTAGCCCCACTGGGCTAGTAGCTCGAATGCATAACATTTTTTACCACGAAAAATAGCCAGCAAAATATTTGACTATACAATCAATAGGGCTGGACTCCACTGAGAGTAATAACAAAGTAAAATAAGAGAAGTATGATAACTCCGTACAGTATAACAGTGCGGCTTATAAGTGTGCGCAACCGCCGCGTGGCATGTACATTCGCAAAATAATCAAACGCGCGTTGGTACGGTTACGACCAGTGTTATGCAACACAAGTGCATTGTGAGATTATGTAAATGTGTCTGTTCATACACGGCACTCGGTGGGTGTGCATACATACAAGCCATGCCGCTACATTTGTATGGAGTTACCATACTTGTTTTATTAAACTATGGCAGCACCCTTTCCATTATGATGCAACAACCCATCTGTCTATAACCAACAAGGATGATTGCAGGATGAAGTAAAAAGAAAAGTTCTTTCATCTAAACCACATTACCCACTTATCACATAATGTACCCAAGAAGAGATTTTTTAACTTTTATTCAACAATAAATACTCTGTTTTACAAAATCAATTTGTTTGTTTTTCAGGGTGAAACAGTTAGTGGTATCAAGGTATACTGGTATAATGATCTCAAAAAAGTACCTACGGAATTCTCTTGGTATATTGCTCATGAGTTCTTTGATGTCATGCCTATACATAAATTTGAGGTAAGTATATCTCGCTCAATCAAAATTAATTGTGTTTTATTTTTGTAACATTCCTTCCTTCATGTATAGAAAACTGACAATGGTTGGAGAGAAGTTCTAATTGACTTTGATAAAGATGGCAAACTGCGATATAGGATATCAACAGATATGACCGTGTCTGCTAAGACCCTTATAAGACCACCTTTAGACACGGGTGAACGTACTGCATTGGAGATCAGTCCTAGAACTTTGGGTATAGCCAGGCAGTTGGCAACAAGGGTCGATGCTCATGGAGGAATAGCACTTATAGCTGATTATGGACATGAAGGAGAGAAAGGGGACACTTTCAGGGTATGGTTTACTCTTTGTTGATCTTTATTTTCATAACAAAATACATTATTTGTCAACACAAAACAAGTAAGACAGCACGTCTCCCTTTGCAGTTAACATGTAATAAATCCTATGACACTTACAACACTACTCTTCAAGATCCAATAAGTAAAGCTCAGTATATAATTTACTTTGCATGTTCACATCTTAGTTTAAAATGACAAAGATTATTTCCAAAACAAAATTTTGCTATTGCTTAAGACTTAACAAAATAAGTGAGTAAAAGTACGTAGAAAAAGTAAGAAGAAGCATAAATTAATAACGGACCCCACACAAAACTCGAACCTTGTATTGCGGGACACAGACTGGTAGACAAGTTATCTTCACTACTATGACAAAAGTTAAATATGATAGACGTCAGTGACGTCACATTGTTGGTTGACTTCCCTTATAAATACATTTCATTCAATCATAGAAGACTGAAGTTGAATTTATACATATAATGTTTTTAGCCGAATTTTCAAAATTAAAAATGTGGGTTTCAACAATAAAACTACTCCTTTTTTCTCTTTTTATCGATTTTATTGTGCCTCTGAACACCAGGTAATCGTTATAGTCGTATATTAATTTCGCGTAAGGCAATTTATAGAGTTTATCTTCTGTGATCTCAATAGGATACTGAACTAAAATAGACTTTTTATATAGAAAGGGAGATGGAGACTATACATGTATCCGCCTAGTGGCTAAAAACGTCTCGATCAATCAGAACACGAACCTAGTTCGTGATATGCAGTCGCTCGCACAGACAGTCCATCATGTAGCTCATCCTCAACCTAATGCTTTCCGGCAGTATAATAACTATCTTAATATTACTTTCTAATCCTACAGGCTTTCCATAAGCATAAAGTGGTAGACCCCCTAGAATTACCAGGCCAATGTGATCTAACAGCTGATGTGGACTTCACTCAGATCCGAATAGCTGCATCGAAAACACCCAAAGCAGATAACTATGCAATCGTACTAGGTCCTGTTAAGCAACGGCTTTTCTTACAGAGATGTCAGGCTGAAGCTAGGTTACAGGTGAGAACTAAATAATTAATTTAATATTTAACCAATGCGATAGAGTTACACAAATAAATGTTTATTTTTTTTATTGAAAATAGAACGTCATTTATTAATTAGAAGGTCTTCGATTTTACAATTAAATGGATTCTTTCATTTACTATTTTATAAATTGAAACTATGCTGTTTTGTATCAACTTACACACATCTTTACAGTCTAGCTGAATTTTAATGTAATGTATAAAACTCAAGTTATTAAGGGCCGTATTCTAGAACTCTACTCAATGCTCTAAACAGGATTTGAGTATGGTTTATAGCACTCGAAATCATACTCAAGTCCCTGCCATTAGGGTCGTATTTCCAGTACTTGTGTTTCCAGTGCAACCCTGACTTGAGCATTGAGTAGAGTTCTAGAATGCGACCCTTAGTCTTTAACAACTGCTTTGTATCATTTTATAAATGACCAGTTAATATTTAATGTTTCTTTTCTCTTTTTTTATTTTATTAATATGTCGTAACAGTTTTATTTCGTAACAAATACTTTTCATCAATTATGAGCGGAGCTTTGAATCTCCTTTTTATCATTCATCTGATTCCAGGTTTTAATGGATAACGCAAATGATGATATAGAGAGAGAAAAAATTAAAGGAGGTTATAAAATGATGGTAGACCCTAACAAAATGGGCGATAGATTCAAATTCATGGCGTTTTATCCTTCAGCAGCAGGGGAGATATTAGAGAAACATCCACCACTTGGATTCTCAGATTATGTTCCCCCATTTCTGAAACTGAAAGAAGATTCGGCCATTGAACCGGCGGCTACGACTTAATTATATACTAATACCATAGTTATTACTGTTAATTGTAGAACATTGTATTGTACTAAATTTGTTTATTATGTTTCATTTCAATTATATAAAAAATTGTGGCGCATTTATATTGTGGCGCACTTTACACCAGGTCGACAGGCAACCGCTGTCGCTTGTTCGCCGTAGGCGGCAAGCTCCCCGATATTAAAATTATTTAGTCATCTAACGACCGTAGTTCGCAGCCGAAATTGACCGAAGCGACTACATAGGTGTAAACGCTAACGACCGTAGTTCGCAGCCGAAGTTGACCGAAGCGACTAGGTGTAAACGCTACGGGCGACACGGTCTCACAGTCTTTTTCACGTCTTCGACTAGCGACGACAGTCGGCCGAACGGTGTCTGTGGCCGCGCATGCTGGGCAAAGTTGCCAATTTGTGGTGAATTCCGTAAACTGTGGGGATTGGACTAATGCGGAATTTATACATGTTATTATTTTTTTTTTTTTTTTTTTATTAAGGCATTGGCAAAGCCATCAGCCTAAACATGAAGTTTAATTATGTTTCTGTAAATATGGCCGCCACAAAGAGGATAGGCAATTTGAGGCGGCGTGCTTGGATTGACTCGGGATTCCTTAAAACGGGCCGATACGGGTATTTTAGTCCGAGATTCGTATAATTTCGCGTTTTAATCTTCGATTAAGGCACAATAGCACTATCCTATTCCACTTTAAACTAGATTGCACAAAATAATTGAAAGTCAAAATAAAAACGACACTTTTCCCTCCAAAAGGTCCAGAGCGAATTTTATACATGTTACATCTATTAATGTAACCATAGCTAATATATCGATAATTTCGTTTTTAATTTTTTTTTAATTTGGTAACATTGACTTACAATTATATTTGGTAATTAGTAAAAAATATGAATTACGATCATACATTATTGATATTTTGCATTACTCGTTTGTATAGAAACAAGTGTGCGATGCGTTCCCAAATTTATAAATAGTTTTTTGCTTGTTGTATGCGTTGATGTGGCAAAAAACAATGACCGAATTAAAAAATAATAATAATATAAGTTTTTTTCCGAGATAATTATGTGGGGAAGTTTTGGCCTATTATTTAGGAACTTTGTCAGCGATACCGACAGACCACTCAGTGTAAACAGCATGTCGACTGCGTCGCCTTCGATAAGGCGAAGTAGTCTTCCGAGTGCGGTAGGTAGACGACTTGGTGTAAACGGCGAGTGGACTGCGTCGTTTTGGCAGGGCAAAGTAGTCTGCCGAAGGCCCAGTGTCAATAATAATAATAATAATAACGCACACACTCAACTCAAATGCGGCCATTATTCTAGTGTGACCATACCATAATCGACTTTTTAAGACTTGTCGCAAAAATATTAATTCTTCGGTCCGCAGTGTAATTTTTCAATTTAATAACTTGTAAGATACATTTAACTTTGTACCTATATTAAACAATTATATCTAACCACTTAAATTGACTATCCCAAATAAGCTATGTCCATTAAAAACGAATTATCTTTGATTTGCCTTGATAAAAGCCAAAAGATTCTTGAGAAATTACAAGACATTATAGGGGAACTTGCAGTATTTTGGTTTGACTCGATAGTTTTACCATGTCTTACTGTCTACACAGGAATAAACTTATTCCAGTGGCACAATTTCTGAATCTCGAGAATTCTCAGCTTTAATCTAATTGCACCTAGAAAGTCGTGAATTAGACGCAATAATTTTAAAGGTGTTCAATTAATTTCAGTGATACGTACATTTGGAATAAAGTCATTCTAAGATTTTGCTACGAGATTGCTAAGTCCCACTTTAGTCCGTTTACGCGAAGATTATAAAATTACAACTATACGAACATAAAAATATTTTTTAGTTTATATATTGGATTAAATGTGAATTTAATAACAATAGTGCTGAAAACCAAAATTTAGCCAGTTCTCTGTAGTATTTAAAGAGAAATATCTCCATATAAAAATTGTGCAAAGTTAAATATTTTATTCTTCAATAATTCGTTTTAGACTTTAATTTAAGCTTATTTTCAGGATTTTATATGATCGAATGAGACCGTATAGCAAAACAGTTTTTCGAATTTCTCCTTCGTGGGTTCGCCTTAATATCGTTATTAGTCATTTTCATGAATCTACTTGGTTCAGCAGTACTGTACCTAACTCGTGCAGGCGGAAGGTTACTAGCTATGGCCAAGACCAGCAGTTCTATCTACGAATTAGAAAGATATATATATCTCATAATATAGGTTATACTTAATAATCTTACATATTTACTCTGGTAAATGTGTAAGATGAACTACAAAATTTAAGGCATACATTCAAAAGGTTAGGGCATTATAGAGGCTTGCCTGGATTCAATAATATTGACAGAGCCATCGATTGCACTCACGTTAAAATAGTGCACACACCAGGAGTCCAGCACCATGAGGCTTACAGAAATAGAAAATCGTACTTCTCAATTAATGTGCAGGTACTCTTACATCATTTATTTATCTACAAGTAGAAAATCTTACAAGATGTTTTTGAAGTACCTAGTTACTCAATTCTTTATATCAATAAAATTGTACATGATTTTACAGGCTATTGCAAAACCAGAGGGACAATTTTTAGACATAGTTGCAAGATGGGCTGGCAGTACTCATGATAGCAGGATTTTCCAACTCTCATCAATAAATATGAAATACCTATAGAGAGAGATATCATACTGGACTACTTGTGGGAGATAGTGGATATCCCAGTTTATCATACCTTTTGACCCCATTTCCTGCCCCTTCAAGCCCTGCCGAAGAAAGGTATAATCAGGTGCACATCCACACTAGAAACTGTGGAGAGGATGTTTGGCATTTGGAAGAGACGATTTCCTTGCCTTAATAGGGGCTCAGGGAATAAATTAGAGACAATGGCAAACATAATTGTGGCCTACGCTATTCTGCACAATTTATAAATTTTGGCAAGACACTTACTGCCAGAAGATGTTCTGCCCGAAGTGCTCGAGGATATTCAGTCTGGTGCAAATGTCCATGAAGCAATAAACAGTGGCACAATTGACGGTTTTGCCATGAGGCGGTCGATAGTTAATCAATATAATTAAGTTTTATTAATGGTTATTTGACCTCAAGGTCATGGCAAAACCTATTTTAGTCAACTAAAATAGGTTTTGCCACGAGGCGATCAATAGTTAGTCAATATAATTAAGGTTTATTAATGATTATTTGATTTTGACTAAAATGTTATAATTTAAACTCCTAAGTTTTAAGTGTAGCTTCAGTAATACAGGCTTTGCTTTGTTGATAGGCATATATTGAAATAATTCAATCACAAATTAACAAGTAAAATAAAGATAAAATATATAGATATGTATAACAATCGCGAAAACCTAAGAACTCGATATATAGATAAATATAGGTAACAAAACCTTTCCAAGGTAGGTTATTATTGGTTACACAATACCAATTAACAATTTGTTACTCAATACCAAGAAGACAAGAGTCGTATTCCAGAACGTGACTTAAGTATCGCCGTGATCATGAGGATCTTTTCAGAAACGAAAATTATAGCCTGTCAATCAAATACAGTAAATTAGTAATATTCGGCCAATTTTCTAGTCTAATGCTGGTAACATTAACGTAGAATCGAACTGAATGGTAATTTTCTGTCATAAACAAACAACATCCATTTGTTCGTTTGATGCCTTTCTTGTTCGTTATGATTAGGAATGGGGAAGACCTATTGATTGAAATCTTTTCACTCACAGAATGATGAGATGAATATAATTATATTTGTTTGATGTGTTCAACGGTTCAAAACTAAATTAAAATAAGTGGTTTTTGGTTCACATTGTCGTGATTATTTACAATTTTATTTACCGTTTGTGAAAAAAATTCGATTTTCAAATAAGCATGGAAGTACCACCAAGTCTAGAGACATCTAGTAGATTTTGGGAAATTATTTTTACCCAAATCTAGCTCACGTTCAGCTGAGTACAGCACTGAGTACTATTCAAGAATAAACGCTTAAGACTTGAATCAATGCTCAAGAAATGATTAATTGATTGATGATCACTGCGATACTTGAGTCACGTTCTGGAATACGACCCTTAATAAGCGATCCAGTTTAATATACAAGTCCGTGATTGCAATGCATGGCTGTTTCTCTTTGCCTTCTGAGAACCATTCTTTTAAGATTTAAAAACCGGTATCACATCGTTAATATAATTTAACCGGTTTTCAGTGAACAAGTACTACACTATACAGTCGATCATATTGTCCGATGGATGGATTTGCAATTTTATTTTTCTTGTGTAAAAAGCAAATAATCCTTTATTTTACGTAAACACACGACATTATTGTAAATTTCCGAACTTTTTGTGTTTGCTCGTATGGTATTCGCGAAGAATTTTTTTGTTTCCATCGTTGTGTGGTTTTTATCACGTTGTGATGAGATGTCAAATTTTCTGTGGACTTCTGCCAATGATCGGGAATTTTTTACATCTGTGAAAAATCTTTGATGATTTACAATTGAAAAACTAATGATACTTGACGACGGTTTGGTCAGTTGTAGCTGTTTATTGTGGTCGGAAGACTATAAGAATTGCATCCGAATGTTTGGATGATTAATCGCTTTCGAAAGTGAAGGTAAGATAATTTTTTCTTTTGTTGTTATTTCGCAAGTCTCGTTCGAGACGGTTTCTTTGTCAACAACGTGACGATTTCACTTTTAATCACGCCATTGGTTGCGGTACTCGTATAAACTTTGCTAACGATACATTTTGCGAGACATATTTTGTAAGGCACTGTTATCTAACAAGTAGGATTTTTAGAGCAATGATTTCTTGTGGTCCTTTCATTATAATTGGTTTCTATGTTGAATATCTAAATTAATTCATACAATCTGTCGTAATTGCTAATATTAGTAATAATAATTATTTGCCATATTCATCAAAAAATATAACCTCAAGATGATGACTTTAAAATTTTGTTTGCATAATAGTTTACGTCGAAATCGATAAAAACGAAGCAAGTAGCAAGTGCATAGTCTCTATTAATATGGTAGAATAAACAAGTGCAAATATTATACATTGTGCATTAAAAACTGCCTCCATGGTCGAACGGTTACCATGCCGGACTGCCACACAGAGGTCCCAGGTTTGATTCCCAGGCCAGGAGAAATATTTGTATGGCTTACATTTATTTCTCTTGGCTTGTGAGTTTGGGTGTAATTTATGGTTGTTTATGTATGTGTCCATAGCACCTGTGATACAGGGTTTCCCTAGTACGGGACCATGTTGAGTGTGTGTGATATTATTAAGTATAGTTTAATGTAAGGATCATTTAGATAACGTTTAATTAAGATAATACACATTAAAAATACAATTAATAAAACACTTTATTAGCAGTAAAGCCCTTTGTGAAACAGTT